CCGCCCCGTGAACAAACCCCCGGACAGCCCTCCCGAAACTATTCCTGCCAAAACCTGCATGCAAAAAAAAAAAAAAAGGCCAAGAGGCAGCAGATCTGCCCTGCTTTTCTGACCAGTGTGTTTCCTGTGCTGCTCACACCGTGCACACGTGAACTGGGACACGCTGGCCGCAGCGCAGAGCTGCCTCCATCTTCCTGAATCACCAAAAAGCACCTTTTTCTGAAGCCTCAGAGAAAGGCTGCCAGGAGGAATCTGGATGACTTTTGGAAGAAGAGTGCCAGGTTCAAGGTACGGCACAAAGGTCAGGTAGGATGGGGTTACCTTTTCCCTAAGCTTCTCAGATGGACCTTATGGGAGAGATCATCTTGCCCTCCCCCATCTTTCTCCCACCCCCTTGTTCCTGGACCACAGTGTCCCTTTGCACCGGAGCTGACTGCTCCACTTGCCCTCAGCAGGCCGTAGGCTTTGATTTTGAAGTTCTCCTGCCTCTGGGATTTCAGTCTGGGTTTGTTCTTGCGTAATTTTTTTCTTTCACAACAGAAAGGCTAGTATGCAAAGAAGCTAGCGCAATATTTTTAGACATAAGTGCTCAAACATATATATACCTAAATAAGTGCAAGTTCCCCTCGCATCCCCAGGCAGTCACCCCAATTTGCCCGATAAACGCCGCAAATGCAGCACTCCGAGTGGAGCCTGTGGTAGAGCAGTGCGAATTCGCTGTTTCCTGCACACCAGGCAGTGGGGCTTTCACCCAAACTACTGGAAAAAAGCAACTTTTTCCAGATTCCCAAACATGCCGCTGGGATTTTTGGCACCTGAATGCTTCAGAGGTTTGTAACCATCAATTTTGGAGCCGTTCCATGAGCTGGGACTTGCACAAAGCCCCCAGGAGTACCTGTGGGATACAGCCGCACCGTCACCATGATCAGTTCCAACTTTTTCAATACATTTTGCACTGGTGTCTGCTCTCCTGGACTCAGCGGCAGAGTGTGGCCTCCTCCTCTTTCACAGATTTTATATCCAGCCCGATGTCACCCAGCAAATCTCGCGCTCAGCCAGGAACTGGTCAGAGACCTTTGAAGCTCCGACCAGCTCAGACATACAGCAGGACTCTGTCTTCCAGGAGGAGAGAGGGTCTCGGCAGGATCCCTCGCAAGCACACCGCCAAAGCCTTTCCAATCAGGAGACATGGCTCTGCTCCCTGTGCCCCGTCCCCAGGTCCAGCGTAGCCCAGGTCTGGTTCTTACTCACCATTTTCCATCAGCAGATGCTTTCCTGCGTGCTCACCTCCTTTCTGAAGGCCACCGGAGGCATTCAAGCAGAAGGACTTGTGCAAGGCAAGACTCTCCCAAGTCCCCCTCCCCTGAAACCAGAAGCTCTTTCCTAACAGTTGTCGAGAAGCTGTGTGCAATGCCAGGAAGTTGCTGTAGCTCGGACCACGGCTATCACAGCCTGGAGGAGGAGCAGCAGCAGCAGCAGCAGCAGCACAAGGGCGTTTGTCAAGAAGAGAGAGGGGGACGGCGGGAGCAGCGGTGCGATGCCGGGGAGTTGAAGCGGCCCGAGGAGCAGAGCGACGCGGGGAGACAACCTGCAGGCGGTCCCTTGGAGCAGGAGTGTATCGGGGGTTCGGCTGAGAAGGGGGCACTTGAGGGGGAAGCCTTGTGTTTGTCAAGAAGAGAGAGGGGGACGGCGGGAGCAGCGGTGCGATGCCGGGGAGTTGAAGCGGCCCGAGGAGCAGAGCGACGCGGGGAGACAACCTGCAGGCGGTCCCTTGGAGCAGGAGTGTATCGGGGGTTCGGCTGAGAAGGGGGCACTTGAGGGGGAAGCCTTGTCTGAAGAGGATGACGAGGGCTCCGAAATAGAGCAAAACCTTCCAGCTTCAGCCAGACCTGCCTGTGCGAATAAATTAATAGACTATATCATAGGGGGGGTTTCCAGTGGGGACGAGAGTGCGGATGATGAGGAAGACTGGGATGATGATGATGATGATGACGACGACGATGATGACGGGTTTGATAGTGAAGGGCTCCCCTCGGATTCAGACGCTGGTAGCCAGGACGGGGAAAGGCTTCATCTCTGGAATTCCTTCTACAGTTTGGATCCGTACAACCCTCAGAACTTCACAGCCACCATTCAGACATCCTCCAGCGGTCCGGGAAAGGATATGTTGGATGTGGAGGAGGAGGAGGAAGAGGAAGATTCTTCATGGGCAGAGGAGTCTTCAGGCTCTCCTCAGGCTAGTTCTGGAGAGGAGGACGAGTGGGACTGTAGCAGTGTGGATGAGGTAGAAAACTTGAAACTTTGGAACTCGTTCTGTACCTCGGATGACCCATATAATCCTTTGAATTTCAAGGCAGCCTTTCAAACAGCAGAGAAAAAAGGGACGCCTGGTTTAAAAGGAGCCGAGAGGCCGAGTTTGGTCGCTTCTGAGCGTAGTCACTTAACTGTCTGTCGGGTGCAGCTGGAAAAACATAACTGTGGGGTTAGTGACTTTGTGCAGCATGACATTCTTTCTGGTGAGAAATGTAGAAGTACCAAGCGGAAAAAGGTATATACTTCGTTTATGGTTTTGTGTTTTGGGGATGCTTAAAAAAAAAAAAAAAACCAACAAACCCACATTGCACAAAGTGGTATGTGAGTGGGTGAGGTCACTTGTGCCAGGATTCCAGCCACGGCGGTAGGCAGATCATGCCCCCATGAGCTTATGGTCTAATTATTTGACTGAAATGAGTGTGCCTCATGCTTTACACGTGATGGTATATTTCACAATTCAGCGGCACCGGGCAGATAATTGCTTTAAATTTCTTTTCTAGACTCGAAGTTAAATTTTCCTTTTAAGACATAGTTTTCGTTCTGTATTTGTGTTCTAACGTAGTTTTCGTCATCAGAGAAACAGATGAGAACTGTGATGTAGGTTTTTCCTCTGGAAAGTACCAGTTTCTGTTATGAATAATATTGATAAAGCATTTTAGGTCCTTTGTGTGTGTGTGTAGTGTAATCGAGAGAAAGCATTGTAAACGTTTTAGGACTTGTGACAAGCCTGCTTGAGTTACAAATGTCTTTTGGAGTAGGAAGAACTCTTCTGTTGTGGGTTAACGCATGCTACAGTAGGCCACTGAAGTTTCAACAGAGAGTGTAGTAATACTCCTGTTTCCATTTAAGAGAGTATTGTAATTCAGCAGTTTTTTATTAAAAGGATGTAATCTGGAACTGGGCTTTTGAGCACAAACTGGAAGTGTGATGTGTTTATGAGGAGTTAAGTGCATTAAAAAACTTCTTAATACGTGTGCTAGGATTCCGATAAATAGTAATAAATTTGTTTTCTCATGAGTTTTGTGATGCTACAGATATACAAGATGGCTTTTCAGGCGTAATGGCTGAGTCTTGCCTGATACTTCAAACATTTGTATGAGTTGTGATACCAAGTCTCAGGGCAATACACTAGTGTAACAAGTTACCAAAATAGAAAAGTAGTGTAATGCTTGCTTTAGCATTCTTACAGGGGAGAGATTTGTTTGCTCTCCATCATTAATGGAGAGCCTGCCTTGGAGGTGACTTTATACCTGTTTTTGCTAGGGCAAGTGGCACTTAATAGTTTATCCTGTGTGAACCACTATATTTTAATCTCAATGGAAAATACTCAAACGGTTTCTGCAAGAGGTCCTTTGTAACTGACAGCATCTGTCTGAAATGCTGCAAGGTAGCACTGATGAGCCCTGCTATAAGTTCATACTGCTGTGACCTAAAATCTTGTTGCGTGTCAGGGATGTAGACTTAACAGTAGTAATTTTTTGACTAATCTGTTGTTTGCCTCTGTGTGATCTGTTGACATGGTGAAAGACTGATGATCTAGATGCAATATTTCGCGTGATGTTACAAAATCCAGTAATTGTGCCCAAGGGTGCCTTGGACTGATGTAAAAAGGATGTAAGGTAGGAACTCGCAAAGGGATAGGCTGATGTAACAACTCCGTGTGCTTGAAAGCAGATACTTAATTAGGCCCGTCTGCAAAACAGAGCAGAGATTGCCCGGCAGTGACCGAGGTGTTCCCAGGAAATCTTCGAGTCATTTGTCCTGCTCAAGGCCATTTGCTATCTGGCATCCTGCAAGCAAACAGCAGCAATATTCATGTTTGTAAAGTCGTAAAACCTGGGAGCGTTTTGTTTCACTTACGAGTTAGCAATGCATTGACACTATGCGAGGACATGGGGGGTCTGATGCCCCTGCTTTCGCAGACGGCTCGGCAGTAATTTGGGATCACTGCACTAGAATTAGGTGACTTCTGGAGGTTGCTTTCACACAGTAGTCTCTTGTGGCTCTGTATCCTCAACTGCTCATTATTTCTGTAGGTCCTCTCTTCCATAACTGTTGTCTTCATGTTTTGTGTGAAGGTTGGAAGATGGCTCTACCACAAAAAGCAATCTCACTCTATGCTTCTCACTGTGTTAGCGTGAACTGGGTGTGAAACCAGGGTTCTATGTTAATAAAAGGTTGAGATGGAGCAGCAAGTTTTTTGTACCCCCCCCCACGTTTTTTCCTGACCTTCCAGAAGTAGCTGTCCTGCAGCAAATTCGGTGGAGTCTGTAACGACAGTGTTTGGCTTGTCTTCAAGAATCAGTTCTAGTCTGAGAGTTGATGGATGCTGACAGCTAGTTAGTTTGTCCTTTAGTTTTGTGCTTTTTGTACAGCTAAATGAAAAGCAATACATAATTCAGTAGGAGCTTGAGATAGTCTGGCTTTTGCTTATTGCTCAATAACAGAAAGACTTAAATCCTTAGTATAGTAATAGTCTAAATACTGTGAAGTTTAGATCCTGAGCCTATAAGTTTCTTTGTTTTCTTAAAATAGCTTAATAGTTCTTAAAAATAGCGAGGAGTGAATGTTTTCGTACGTATTTTAAAGTGCTATGACTGACTTCATTTTGTTGCATGAACTTAAATACACTGGAATTTGATACCACCTCTAAATAGACGGGTTTGTTCCAGTCACGTAGTGATGAGTGTTGCTTCCTTATATGTAGCATAGTGTGATTTCTTTTCCTGGTGCTGAAGTCCAAGCTGACTCACATGATTACTTACTCTACAGAACAATGATTTTTCCTCTCTTTTATTATGTAAGCTTCAGTAGTCAGAGATGTTGGCTGGTAGCATATTTCTAAGCTGGAGTGAATGTCCTGGCATATCCTGCTGAGTAACCTCCTTGAACTGTGTCTGTGTAAGGTTATAACCCAGTACTGGTGTTGGGGGGGAGGGGGTGGTGTTATTTCACAGGGAACGTTGTATTGTCTGCCGTCAGCATAAAGAGGCCTCTTAGGCTGCAGTTTAGAAACTCCATAGTAGTTTGAGCACTACTTTTGGTAGAGGAAGAAGTCAGCAACTGGTTGCTTTTAAAGCTGAGAGGTGAAATGTACTCCAGCCTAGGTGATGCAGAGACCTAGCATGAACTGGTAGCATACCTGAGGCTTTTTGCTATTTTAGGCATTTAATAACTTCTGTTAAAAAAAAAAAAAAAAATTGCACATGCAAATAAATATTAAGCTCCTTTTGCGTGAGTGTCTGGCTAATGCTTTTCTAAATGACTTGTCTTTTCCAGGTAACCTTCCTTGAAAAAGTTACTGAGTATTACATAAGCAGTGAGGAGGATCGTAAAGGACCCTGGGAAGAGCTTGCACGAGATGGATGCAGGTTCCAGAAACGTATCCAAGAAACAGAAGAAGCCATAGGATACTGCTTCACAACAGAGCATAGACAAAGAGTATTCAATAGACTCCAAGAAACCTACTACAAGAGGGTTGATCTCTTCTAGCACCTTAAAAGATCTGGTAGTTGTGTGACCTTAAGCACTCGTGAACATCTTCGAAACAAGAAGTGGCAGCTGCATGTGCTATTTTGAAATGGGGAGAGAAGTGGGATTTTAACACTTTCTTCCCAGTTCGATATTCAGCCAACGAATATACCTGTGTGTCTCATTTTGATATCCAGACAAAACCTTTTGAGTATCATCAAGGGTAAGGGTGGTATAATTGCATTCCTTTTAAGTAACACTTGAGAAACAGACTGCTTTAGGTTAAATCCATTCCAAAAATGCCTTGTCTGCCGTATGTTGAGAAGTGGTGACTATTAAGTTGGATTTTTGCACTTTGAAAAAGCAAAACCTATTTTGAAGGAAATATTTATGGGGCTCAGAACCTAGTTATCGCAGTTTTGATTTAAAGTTTCTAGAGGTATGTGCTACTTTCTTGTGGTTCTCCATTTTCTCTAACTTGTACAAAAGTCTCAAATTTTGTTAGCTAATAACGTTAACTTTACTGGGCAAAGCAGATAGTTTATTCCTTCCTTTTAAGATCCCAGTTTTGCATGTAATCTAGTGTTTGGGTGTTTATGTAACGCTTTGATGTCGTAATATTTGAGTCTAGCACACTGGGGGATTCAGGGGAACTCTGGTGCACTACAAGCCCTTTGGTTTGTCTTTATTTAAATAATACCTTTACCCAGTACTGTTCCAAAGGGTGTCGGCTGCTTGTGCACCAAACCTCTTTGCTTTCAGGGCAATGAAAGGCCTGATCAATAAATAAAGCTTCAAGGTATGTGTCGAGGCTATGGCTGATAGTTTGGATTTAGGCCACGCAAAGGGAACTAGGCACTAGTTCTTTAGTTAATCTTAGAGTATCTTTGCCGTAATCGATTCTGCTTTCTGAAGATGGATTGAAGTGGAAGATTCTTCATATTTCGTGTATCCAATGTGCTTGTTCTGGCACTTGTAAGGAGAACTATCTTTGACTTACGGAAATTTAAGGCTACAAATCGCTGTGTTCTTTACCAAAAGCCAGTATTAATAATACCTCTATGCGTCTGCACTTTGTTCATCTGGTACCAAAATAACATTTCACACTTGGGGTCTGAAAGTTGAGGTCCTCAGTGGAAGGAAAACACTCCGTATTTATGTTCTTAACTTAAAATGTTTAATTGTTGTTTCAGTCAAAATAAAAAAGCAGCACCATTTGGATATGCGTTTGGACCTCAAGGATGTTGTGTGGCTGTTATCCAAGCAGGTATGAGGTCATGCAATGGAATAAATACCAAACATCAAAGAATTCGTATCTGTTTGCACAAAGTTGCGTGAATAAATTATTTGGTACTTGGTTCAGTCAGCTGACTAGAATTGTTTCCCTTTTTTAAGGGAGAAACCTAAAAACACTTCAGATTTGTCATCGCATTAATGACTTCATTTTTTAATTCAGAAGAAAATTACAGGTACAGAAGAGCTTCACAGAGCTTTACTGAATTTTCTGCTTTATCATGCCATCTCTTTGGCCATTACTTTTAATTCTGTCTCAAAAACTTCAGAGTTTTGGGGTTTATACTTTGGTCTTACTGCAGGAGGTATGTTCTTTGAATTTAAAAATTACCTTTCTCTGCTACAAGTTAGAAGTGTTACAATTATGAAATTCAGAGGGTTAACTGTGAACTACAGTAGAGTTGTCATGTAAACTTAAAATACAGCCAAAACTCAAGCAGCCTTACAGACCGGCTACTTGAAAGCAAGGCAGCAATGTTCTTTTTCATACCCACGCATAAAAAAAAAATTGGATTCTCCTTTCCTACAAAAGATAATTTTACTTGTGAAATCGTAATTCTAATCATGCCCTCAAATCCTGTGAAATAACACTTAATTTTTAGGAGTTTGTTTTCCTGTATCATATTTGATAACGGGTGTTCTGCTTTTTTGTTTAGGAAAAAGCCCGCAGGATGATAAATGTAGAAGTACAATAGAAAATTTGTTGACTTACGGTCCAAGTGTGACTGATAAGCAAAAATTGCTCTTGGTAAAATATGCTATAGTCATTTTTCCATGACTCTCCTAGTTTCTTCGATCTTGGAGAACTTTTTGGTGCTTCTGTTACTCTGGACAACTCGCTTGGTTTACTGGTGCTTGTGCGAAGCTTTAGAGTGGTGTGAGTTAACACCCGCAAACCCCGATCCACTGTTGGCAGAGGCTTGGAAAAGGCTACAGCTGGAAACGAACAGAACTGACAGATTGGATGTAAACGAGATGAAAAACCGCTGCTTCCAAAGTGCTTCTAACATTTGAGAAATTACTTTTTTCCAGCCTGCAGTGTATCGAGCGTTCTGTTCAAACACTGCTGATTCTCCCTGAAACATACCTGCTTGGGTAAGCTTTTTTCCCCTCTCACACCTCATGTTTTCAAAGTATCCAGTGTAAGGTGACAGGAAATTAACACTAAAGTCATCACCATAAACATCATCTTAAAAGCAAGCTAAGCTTGGTTGTCACCGTTTTCCCTATAACGTATCTTAAAATGGTCATACAGGATGTGTACATGTGTAAGTGCTTTGGGTGAGACAGTAAAAATAACCGAACTTTAAATCAAAACTGTAATTATCAGATTTTATTTTTGTATAATTTAGAGAAAGTTAGAAAACCTTCAACATTGGCTTTATACAGATTTTAATTGATTTGTGTCGAGTTTGTTGGGTTTTTATATCTAAAGTTATATTTCTGTACATAATAAAACTATTCAGAACTAATCTGTGAATTGTAATAAAGATATTTGCAAGATAATACCAAATTGTTTTTCTTTGAACGGACTTACAGGAGACGTCAGGTAACTGCGGAAGCACGATTCCTGCACGTTTGTTTAGCTTTATGAGAATATTAAATTATTTTTAATCACATCTGGTGTTTCAGAGGAGGTTATGGTAATTTAGGAGCAGGCACTCCCCTGTGAATTTCCTTCCGAACCAGTAACTCTGTGTGATCGTAAGGGCTCCTTGTGCTGATGCAGCTTTTAAACTAAAATGCAAAGTGTGCAAGTGCAATTACTTGTATTCAAATTAGGTGTTGGCTTGCTGTAAGCAGGGACGTTAATGTTTTGTTGCCCTAATTGAAGCTGAGTATTGAGATTTGGTTTTACTTTGCTCACTGGTTAGCATAACTTTAAATGGGAATACTGCATGGTTTCGAAGGTATTTCAGGGGGTTTTTTGAAGTATTTTCAGGCTTTGCACTGGAACAAATTTGAGGTGTCGCCTTGTGAGTGGAAGTGACTCGAAGGCGCCAAACATCTGATCTTTCTTCAATTAGAGAAGTGCCAGAACGCTTCCCTGTGTTTTGCCATGTAGCCCTGGCCTGTGATGCGGTGGATGATTCGTTCCCTTGTTTATGTTCTAATGAATTGGAGTAAAATGTTTGGTAAGGAGCTCAGAATACGCAAGAGCAAAGGACGGTGGCGATGCCCAGTGACAATTAATCCTGCACAGCATTATCCAGCATAATTATCTTTAATGAATGATTTTTTTGTTGTTGTTGTGTAAAGCTGCGTCTATCACTCTGTGGTTTTTAGACTAGGGGATACCATAATTTTGGCACAGTATTCCGCGAGCGTGAAGCTAGAGTGCCTCGCAGGAGCTGGGTGCTCTCCGGGGCGTTGTGCCCCTCGGCTGGGGCTGGTCGGGTTCGGTGGCTCTCTGCTGGGTGGGAAGGAGGAGGCTGGAAGTGCTGCGCTGCTGCGGGCGCAGGCCAGGGTGGCAACAAGACGTGGGCTTCCTATCTTAAAGGGGGGTGAAGGTGCCTGGAGTGGTTTGCAGACACGCATCAGCTTTTCCAGGGGTTCCCAGGAGCTCACTGGGAAATGAGGCTGGCCTGGCTGGGCGTGAGGATTTTGGCCTCAGCCAAAACCCCGCTGACGAACTTCCTCCGGAGCGGCGATACTGGTGACGCGTGTCACCGGCAGCTCTGCTCCGTGTGTGACACGGTCATGGCGTAGGAATCTCTGGAATGGGTTCAAGGGCCGCGGGTTGGCCACACCTTTTCTAGAGCGACGTTTGGGGGGGAGAGCTTTCAAGTTATTCGTCGTTTAGTTCACACCTTAAAGAAAAGTGCTGCATAGAGCTCCGTACTGGCACGGTGCTATATACTGTTTGCTCCTGTCTTGCAGCACAAGCCGTGTTTCACCCTGTGCTTGCATCTTGTCTGGGCATCTCTAAAACACCATTGTGCAGTGTTTGTTTCTGTAAGAGTATCATGGGTAGAAAACTGCTGGACTAGACAAGGAAAAACATCGTCTGAACTTCCTGCAGTACTCTTGTTTTTAAAATAGTGAACAAAGCTGAACATGGTGAACATAATAATCATGAACCACAGTGGTTTTTAAAAGTCATATTCACCTGTTCTGCTGGCTCTAAAATCTGCCTTAAAAATGAATGTTGTAATTTCTCTTCACACAGTGAGATAGCTTAAAGAAATACAGTTAGCGTGCTAAATGAAAGCTTCTATGTATCTGGCAGTGCATCCAGATGCCATCTGGAATGTAGAAATCCTGCTGGGACTTCTTTATTCTGTCAGCACCGAGGTCTGCAGTTGGAGTTTAGCTGACAATTTATCTGTGTTAGAGTAGAATCGTTCTTGCTCCGGTAGCTGTGTCGTCTTGTTTGTCAGCAAAGCACACGGGGAGTAAATAAGCTGCTATTTTTGTAGTCACTACTGACTGCGTCCACTAAAATGCCATTTGCAAATTAATGTTGCTGCAGAGCTGGTTTGGCCCCACAAAAGCAAGTTTCTTCTGAAACTGGCAGGCAGGAGAAGGCAATGACGCTGAATCACGACGTGATTGCAATTCCAGGGAGAGTCCGCTGCTTTCCAGCCGCACGGCCTCGACCTGATGGGCTGTAACTCGGATATAATCCAAGGTTTATTTCAGCGTGCGCGGTGCTGGTGGGGAAATGAAGCCTTGTAAAAGCTGTCCGTTAGTCCTGAGGTTATAAAGTATTAGAGCCCATTAGCAGGAGGCATCCATCTGCCCCTCCTGCTAATGCTCACGATAAGACTGTTAGCGATAAAAACACTGGCTGCTTTGTAGACGCCCCAGCTGTAGGGGCACATCGGATATTCATTGCTTTCCTTGCCCGCCTTGTTTTCGGGATGGCATGCAGCGTTTTGCTAGACACGTGAACTGCCTTCTCCCTTCTTCCTCCTGCAATCACTAAGTGTGTTGCTTCCTGCAAAAAAAAATAATAATAATAATCCAACAAAACCCCTGCCTGTAGAAATGTACTGGTTGGGGTATCCAGCTCCGGCAGGCTGGACTCAAAGCTTTGCAGCGGCTGAGGGGAAGGAGGTCTTCCTCAGCACGGTTTACTGGTTCAAGGGACAAACCTGGTTTGCACTAGCCCACCAGCTGTAAAACGAAGCTGTTGAAGATAAATTTCTCCTCTCTTTGTCACAGATTCAGTCTGGACAGCTCTGGATGGTGCCATCTTAAGCTAAATCTAAAAGCCTGTCTTTAGAGAAGGTAGCTGCCACAAAGAATAACTGATACGTGCAGAGCAAAGGAAGGTCCTGCTTGGAAAACAGGGCTTTGATGCTCGATGGGTCTGTGGAGGTTTGTGTAATGGAAGCAGCGTGTTTAACGTTGCTGTGGAGCAGCCTTTCCTACCTCACTGCTGCGTGACAGCCCGGCGTGAGCTGCTCCTTGCCCCGTGGGAAATGCCGGCTAGCTTCCTTTCCCGTCACCGAGAGACGAGGCGCCTCATCAGAAGCAGAAAATAGCTACCGACTGCAGCCCTTTTGCATGCAAAGAGCAGCCTTTGGCTGCGCGCATTTGGGATACGGTCCCAGGTTTCTCGCTGGGACTTTATGCCGAGAAGAAACAAAGACCCAGTTGGGGGCATTTGGATTCAGCACCTTCTCCCCTTTCCTTCTCATGCACCAGGCTTCTTGTTTTAGGCTTGCTGTTTCAGGTTGCTGAGCTAATTTAGGCCAGATCTGAGGTTAAGCAAGGCTTCTGGCGAAGGGGAAGCAGGAGCACGTTAAAAAGATTTCACTTCTAGAGCTGGGGGGATGTTACGCTGGCACCTCTCCATGCCTCCTCCCGTGCCGGCTGGTGGGAGCTATGGTAACGAGCCGTACAGGGGGTTGGAGTTCTCGGGATGGATGTGGGAGCGGTGGGTTACTGTGCCTGGTAGTAAAATCACTGACTGGTGATAAAAGGCTGTTAAACATCTGCTTGCAATCTGGGTGTCTGGGCTCCAGCGTACCAGCCTGGTAGAATCCACTGAGCAGCACCCACTGGCGCTCCCGGCAGCGGCGTTCTCTGGCAGCATCTATCAAATTACAAGCAGTTTACAACCAGACGTAAAGAATATGAAGCAATTAGGCTTTTTGCTTAGCAACTCCCTCTCGCTTGAGGTGATTACTGGTCCCTGTGCTCGAGCTGGGAAAGCCGAGAGGGAGCGGTGTGCTCCTGCCTGCCCCAGTATTGGAAAGCACGGTGGTGTGACGGCCATCGCGTCCCCAGCCTGGCTCCCAGGTGGGGCCTTGGAGCGGTTGGGTGGGCAGCGTGTGGAGTAAAGGGGAGGGAGGAGATAACAGCTTGAAGTTACGGGGGGCAGACTGCAGACTCTTGTATATTAACAGTCGGGGAGAGGGCACAACGTGCATCTCAGGGTGCATCAGGTTGGGTCCGGTGGAAGCGCCTGGCCGACTCGCTCTGCAGCTGCGTTTCTGGTCTTGTTTCTGGGGAAGCTTTTGTCCAGGAGATGGTGCCAGAACCGTACGGCAGCGCGGGACTCGCAGCCGGCAACGCTGCCGGCGCCACTGCCACCCCAAGGCGCTTCTGGCTGAGTGGGTCCCCCGGCTGTCCCCCCTGCAGAGCCCTCTCCCACCCATCCCTCCGCGGTGGCCCAAAGGCTCTCTAGCGCCTTGCTCTGGAGTGAGCATCGGGGTGGGACGGGCGAATGTGGGGCAAGTGCAATAACCATCCCTTTCTGTGCAGAAAGGCCCAGTTTTGTGGCATTCCTAACATCTGACCCACGAGGGCTCCATGCACGAAACTTCCTCAGCCTTCGTTTGCCTTCCTTGGCAGGGCAGGTCACCCACGACGGGCTGGGGAGCTGGGTGTCAGGCAGCAGCCAGGGCCAGGCATCCTCTCCGACCACAACTAAGCCACAGCGGTGCCTGTGTCACGCCATTGCTCACCCAGCGCAGCCCTGTTCCGCGTGCTTTGCTCCCTTTGTTCTCCGTGTGGTCCCACCGTGGCTCGAAGCGAAGGCTCGGGGCTGCGTGGATGTAGGAGGAGGCGGCTGCTGGTGGCTGGTCCGCGGGGGTCGTGGTGCCGGGCTGCTCCTGGCATGTTGGCAAGCGAAATCCTTCTGCTCAAACCAGTGTCTCAGGCACAAAGGTGACCTGGTGCCCTTGGAATTGCCAGCGGCCACGTGTCTCCAGAAGATGGCTGATGTGCTGGGACTGTTTTTTGCTATATCAAATATATTTGCTGAGCTTCTCCATCTCCTCCCTCTGCCCGATCCCGGCGCAAATCCATTTCCCCACTGGTGGGCTTCTGCTCTCAGGATGGTCCCATGGGAGACTGGTGGCTTCCCTGTCCCTCCATGTCCCCGCTAAAGGAAGAACACGGTGCATGGGGCAGAGGTGGCGGTGCCCGACGCTGTGGGAGCCTCCGTGGGACCATCAGTAGAAACACTGAATGCGGGTGGTTTTGCGAAGACAACCTCGGTGTGTGCCTGCTTGCTGTCCCCTTCCTTCCTAACCTGGGTGGTTGTGAACAAG